TGCAATATCCTATTGGTTACACAGGTTAGCCATACTTGGTTTGTGATGGGATGACACAAGGACATAAATACCAGGAAGCATGAATCATTAGGGACTCTCTTGGAAGCTGGTTAATACAATTTTGCATAGGGGGAAAAAAATCACATAGTTGAATCATTCACAGTCTTTTCAACCCCAAATGTTTCTTTCCTGTAAATTACTCCATCACACACAAACACAACACAGAAAAATATGGAATACGGCAGCCTAACTATAGGTCCACATCCTCCTCCTTCTCCTCTCAAACCTCAGTAGACTTGGATAGTGCATTTGAAACCACGAGCTTTACTAGAGGCTTTGGAAAAATAAGTTAGGGACTTCCATCTACTCTGTACTAGGTAGGAGATTGAGGTCTCATGAAGTAAAACTTCCCCCAAAAGACAAAATACTATAGGTCACAGAAATAGCTTAGTTGTCAAACACCTGAGAAGCTCCTCAGGAAGACCAGCACCTGATTGTAAGCAATCCGGATAATCTCCCCAATGTAGTCATATGGCTTCTGTTACTATATAGAGTTCTGTAACATAGTGGAATGATATAAAACCTTACCAAGGAGTTAAGTGGCATCCTCCCTAAGAAATATCAACATCATTAGTATTCTTGAAAAATTCTCTTTTACTGGAGATCTTTATGTAACCGAGCAGGACCCTGTGGGTACTTCCTGGGACAGGAACGCCCCTCCAACCCCATGTCCTCTGCCTGCCTCCTGTTTGTAGAAAAGCCATAGTCTCCCAGGACTCCCCGAGTCACAAAAGCGTGGCTCAAGAATTAATGATTGAAAGAATGTGAACATGTAGTGACAAAAATATTAGTTGGGCTAGGAGAACTGGTAACAATTTAAACAGTCAATCTGCCATATATCAGTCACAGAATTTTTAGTTCCTCCCTGAAGAACATAGGTAACAGTGTCTGATGCACATTCCTGAGTCATTTTACAGATACTAAAACTCCCACCAAATGGAAGTTAACTACTTGATTATCATGAGCACAGAGCCCCCAGATCAGCTGGAGCCTGAGGACTGATGATGTTAACCCCTGTGACACCACACTGTTACCTCACCATCAACCAATTAGAGAATTGTGCATGAGCTGGTCACTCACCCTGCAACTCCCCACCCTCACCTGGCCTTTAAAACTGCTTCCCTGAAACCCATCACTGGAGAGTTAGGGGATTTTGAGTATTAGCTGTCCATACTCCTTCTCTGGCACCTGCAATAAACACTGCACTTTCCTTCACCACAACCCAGTGTCAGTAGACTGGCTTTACTGCACACAGGCGAGTGGACTCAAGTTTGGTTTGGCAACATTTAGATGGTGACAAATATCTAAACAAACCGAAAGAAAAAATTATGAATCATGTAATCAAATCATAGGGATATAACTAGCCTCAGAAAGACTAAAACTAGCTCTCTCTAGCTCTCCTTTCTGTTTCTTCTTTGGCATCAGTGCATTTTACCAGACCAGAAGTCTCCATTCAGTTGTAATTATAGCCACCACTGCCTCCTGGCTCATATCTTCTCAGTTCAGTCACAAGAAAGAAAAGGCTCTTCCCTCTTGACCCAGTTTGAAAAAAATCTCATAGGACTCTGCTTGACTCAGCTTGGTCACATGACTACCTCATTGAGTCAGGGGAGCAGAATGCTATGACTCAGTTGGACATATTGTTCATTCCTGAGAGCAAGGAATATGGAAGAGTTCATTCAGAATACATGCTACAGTGGGAGAAGTAGTGTTCCAAATGAGGAAGTATGCTATTCTCAAAAGAAATAAGAGTCAGTTGCCAGACAAAACAATGAATGTCAACCATACTTCCAACCCTAAACTATAGCATCTGTCTGCATACCTAAGGATACAGGAATTGAGAAATTAATGGTTGAAAGTAAAAAGTAGTTATTTTTAAATACTTGCATGGACTTATCCAGTCTTCACAGGGACTCCTCTCAGTTACCGATGGTAAATTTTTTTTAAAGTCTCTTATAAGAACACATAAATTAAAGAAAATTAATGTATACAATGAAAAAAACAGCAGTATAAAGAAGAGGGTCCTTTTTAAGCATATAGTGAGTTACTATAAAACATAAGAGAGTAAAAGAAATTGGACCAGTGAATTTAAAGCTCAGTTGGAAGAATTCTCTCAGAACTTAAGGGAAAAAAATAATAAAATGAAAATTATGGAAGGAAGGACTTTAGAAAAATAAGATAGGGCTTCCCTGGTGGCCCAGTGGTTGAGAGTCCGCCTGCCGACGCAGGGGACACGGGTTCGTGCCCCAGTCCAGGAAGATCCCACATGCCGCGGAGCGGCTGGGCCCGTGAGCCATGGCCTCTGAGCCTGCGGATCCGGAGCCTGTGCTCCGCAACGGGAGAGGCCACAACAGTGAGAGGCCCTCGTACTGCAAAAAAAAAAAAAAAGTTTCCTAGGAAAGATAACTGAATTACATCACCTATAGATAAGCTTTCTTTTTAGTGATAAGAAACTCATCCATTCGCCAGATATTTACTAAATTCCTACTACGTACTGTTTAGCAGCTGGAGATAGAGCAGTGAACAAACTACACGTCTCTGCCATAGAATCTTCATTCTAGTGGGAAAAAAATTAAACTGCAAGGCAAAGTGGAGAAAGCTTACCAAGATAGATAATCTCTGTCAAGGTGGAAAAATTTTGTTTCATCATATTTTATGTCTCACCATATTTAAGAAGTGATGCATACATTTCATTTTACTTTGAGATATTCATTCTGTCAATTAGGATTAGGTTCAGCCACAAGAGTAAATTAACAGAGGCCCTTATTTCTTTCACATATAAGTCCACAGTTAGGCAGTCTGTGGGCATTTTAGCAGATCAGCTCCATGAAATATACAGAGACTCAAGACTCCTCTATTCCTAAGAATGTACCCTGTACCACCCTACCATGCCCACCCACATACATACACTCCCCCAAAACTGTTTGGGGAATCCAAGGAATCTGCATTTTAACAGGTATCCCAGGTAATCCAAATGCAGGTAGTTTATAACCCACCTGAGACATCCTGATATAGAAGACTGAGGAAAAAGATAAAATGACTCCTAAAACCTTGGTAATGAGAGAAATAAAATTACTTCTAAGAATCAAACTGTGAAATCAATAACTAGTTCCTAAGAGCAGAGATAAGTAAAGTCACCTTAAAGAAAGCCAAACCACCCACATTGGACAAAACCTCAACTTTTAGGTATTTTCTTATCTAAAGAAATTGTCGGAGTGAAGGTGGATGATGCAGAGTGAGCCCATAAACAATATGGAAGCAACTAAAAGATAGTCTCAGAGGTCTTCTCCAGACATGATGCCTACATCTTATTGCACACATTTTCAGAACTCCTCCAACCATTCTCTTATGAAAAGTTTGGATTTACTTTTATTGTTACCTTTTAAAATGTTTCACATGAAACTTTATAATTTTAAATTAATTTTGTGCCATTAATAGTATCCCCTGTCAGGTTATGTCTTGGAAACATAGGTAATATTAGGCTATGGCTACTCATACCAAAGGCTGTATATCAGATAATGTTCAACTACGGAGCTGGGCAAAAATGCAAGATAAATTTTGGCTTCCACGTTCTCATCTTCATTTCATTCTAAAGGGAAATAAGAAACAAAAGAAAAGAGAGAAGAAAACCCTAGAACAATGTGTCATAAAGCCAGATTAAAAAAAAAGGGTTAACACTATTTTGTAACATCTATCACTGTACTTCTTTTCCATAACACAAATGCAAAACTGAGTTGATTATTCCTGTCCACCAAGAACTTTTTAAAAATTCCTGAAAGAATTTTAGGTCCCGTTCAGAAAATATATGTATCTCCAACGAAATAATCCTAAATTCAATAGGTAAGGTAAACTGCATGCCATTATACTACTCCACCCTAAAAAATTTTCTCTTACCTCTCCTTTTTACTAAAGCCTATCCTTTCAAATTGCTGTTTAATTTCCAAATTAATTCTTCCACAGCTTCACATCACTCAGGTAACCTCTCAGTCTCTGAACTAAGGGACTCCCACCACCAGTTTCCGGCTGGAGATAGAACTTTTATTAAAAGTACGAAGTACGAGGTCGGCCAACAGGACCTGAGATTTGGGGCAAGTTCTTCAACGCTGGGAAACTTAGCTTTTTCATTTGAAAAATGACGTTTGATGCAGATTTCTAAAATTCCCTCAAATGTATAACGGTGATTTAAACATAACCAGAGCTCTTGTTTGATATGGCAGTAGATTTTCTTAAGGGAAGCAATTTGGCAAGTTTTGCATCACCTGTCCCAAGCCCCTTATTGTGTGCACTTACGGAAAACTACTTAAACTCCATTTTACTACCGAATTAACCGGTGGGGAGGTGGAGCGGGGGGCGGGGATGTTAACCTACATTTTAGCACTGGGGAGAATGGAACAGTTGCCCCTGCAAAAATCTACGAAGGGGACAGCACTGCAACATACACCCAGGAAGCTTTCCAGAAGCAAAACCAAGGGATCTGTCAGGTGAAAAGTACGCCCCAGGTTGGTTTCACATGCTAACCACTGCCTGAGATCCCCTAAGGCCAGGCAGAAAACGCTCATCTGTTCTTTTTTTCTTTGCAAATTTCAAATTCCTTCAACCCGAAGGCTTGGCTCCAAACCATGCTGTGGGGAGCTAAACCGCCTCACCCGTTCTGAATGTGGAAACATGACTCCGCCTCGCCAACGACCGCAAGAGGGAGAAGCAGCTACAGGGAAGCCAGGTTAGGCCGGGCGCCTGTCTCGTCGGCCCCGCCCGGGAGTAGACCAGCCGGCGCAAGCCCCACGGCCCCGCGCGAAAGCCTTAAGAGTCCACAGCCCACGCCGAAGGCGGCGGGGTCAGGGCGGCGCGTCACGTGGCCCAACGGCGCAGCCAATCAGCGCAGCCCTCTGAGGTATTCAAATCGATGGCGGGGCCGACGGTTGTGGGAGGCTGCGCTGCCGCCGGCTTCTCGGGGGCTGAGTGTCGCCTTGCGCCGCCATGCCGGGCACCGGGCGCTGACAGACCTTCGGGCCCAGTGGGCGGAATGGAAAATCAGGGTGTGCCTCCCGGGCCTTATCGGGCCACCAGGCTGGTAAGACCGCGCATTAACGAGACTGGCCAGCCGGGGTGATGGCTGCTTTTACGTGAGAACGTTTGTAGCTTTCCCTCGGGCGGAGGGATAGGTCCCAGAACTTCTTGGGTGGCTGAAGAGGAGAATGAGGGGAGTTCACGGATATCGCGGACCCTTGCAGGGCTCGCCTGTCCCCCTCCTTTGCTCCGGGCACCCCGAGTGGGCGCATCGGAGTCAGCTTCTGAAGCTACCCCTGTTCTTGGTGCTGTCGGCGTCCCCTGAAATGTCTTGGAATAGTCTGAGTTTAGCCGCTCCGCACGCCTGATTTTCTACCCGCATTAGGATTCGAGAAGAGTTTTGAGTTCCAGTGCTTTGTAGGGTCAGACTGGGGGCAAGCCCGATTGTTTGTGACAGCTTCGTTTAGCCGGTCCTGTAGAATTTAATGCAGGATGTACCGACTGAATGCCACTCAGTAACAGCTATTTCATAACTAAGAATGTTTTAAATACCCATCAGGAACCACTGTTGGTAGTCACTGGATTTGTACTTGCATAGAGTGTCTTGTGTATTTGGATCATCAATCCAAGAGGATACTGTGCCACTGGTTATGTGACATTAGGAGAGTCACTTTTGTGAGCGTCAGTTTCCACCTTGGTAAACTAGAGCTAATGATACATGCCCAGGCTAAAAGATGTCCTAGAGTAGACATACTGTATGTGAAAGTGTGCTGTGATCTGTAGAATAACAAACAACTTATTCTCTGGATAAATTGCAGCTCAATATAAGTTTCTTGAATAATATATGAAATGTGGAAGTGTGGAAAGAAAAGCATACAGTTATTGTGTTTTCAGCCCTTAAATTCTGTGTTGTGATGTTGGGACCACATAGGTTAGAAAAGTGGTAGCATAGCGAGTAGTAGCATAGTTGGGTTTACAAATCAGATTTCTTAACCTCTAATGTAAGATTTTTTAATTAAAAAGTTATATGTTTATTCTATACCACTCCTCGTAGACCTGCCACGAACCCAAAAGTTTGGGTAATTTGAAAACAGTTTTGGAAAGTGTGAGTATCTTTTGAAAATGTAGATATATCACAGCGTCATTAAACAAACAGTAGACTTAAAACTTAACTTACCGCATATGTTCTGTGTAAATTATTGGGATCTTCACTAGTAAATATACTAAAGGTATATTAATACTTTAATACTAAAGGTATTTTACCAGTAAAACTATTGCCTGCCAAGAGTTTTGTTTGGCCTGCATAGTTAGTTATGAGTACAGGTTCTAGAGTCAATCCAATGCCTGGGTTTTAGCTGTATGACCTTTGTCAAATTATTAAATATCTCTGTGCTTCATATTCCTTATCTGAAAATGGGATAGTAATAGTACCTATTCATAGAATTGTGAGAATTAAAGTGAAATAATGAGTGTAATGCATAGTGTCTGACACAAATGCTACTATCATATTATTAATATTAGTTGAGGTTAAAGAAACAGGAAGAAACAGGAATAAATGCTTTCTCTGTTGAGGACTAAAGGCAGGTTCATTGTAGTTCTCCTTTATTCCTAGGTTTCCTAAGTAAGCCAACCAGCCAGTGAAGTGCTTGTAGTCCAAAACTATTACATAAAAATATTATTACAACACTAGAATTAATAAAAAGAAATCAGTATGGGATGTAAAATTTTCTTTAGCACAAATAAGACAAGTGATTTCTTCATGAATTTTAATGATTTAACAAGATGCGAATGAGAGAATTTTCTTTGTCTGATTAAAAAAATTTTTTTTTCCTTTCCATTTGCAGTGGAATGAAGTTACCACATCTTTTCGAGCGGGAATGCCTCTAAGGAAACACAGGCAACACTTTAAAAAATATGGCAATTGTTTTACAGCAGGAGAAGCAGTAGACTGGCTTTATGACCTATTAAGAAATAATAGCAATTTTGGTCCTGAAGTTACAAGGCAACAGACTATCCAGCTATTGAGAAAATTTCTTAAGAACCATGTCATTGAAGATATCAAAGGCAAATGGGGATCAGAAAATCTTGATGACAACAGTCAGCTATTCAGGTACTAAACAAAGAAATAACTGCAAAACTGAATTACTTAACAATGAAGTTTCACTCCACTTCTAATACTTTTACTAAAACAGCAGCCTCTTCAGGGGAAGTAATATTTTCTGCAGAAAACTTACTGCTCTTAGTCCAATTAAAACCATTTAAAAGTTAAAGTTAGTTAAAGGTTATTGCTGCACAATTCAAACTTATAATAAAATAAGGAGCTGGGAGGAAAGAATAAGATAGTGTCACTTTTACATATTCTGAAAGCTCTGAAACATGTCAAGGACAGAACGTTATCAACCTTTAGTTTCATAGATTTAAGAATTACAAGACAAGTTCTCACAGGTCCTTACCTTCAAGTGATATGTAATCTATAGAATCTAAGAACACATGTGATGAAATAAAAAATAGCAAACTTTATATAATAACTAACAAAAGAAATATACCACAGGTTGAAGAGATTATTTATTAAGAATTTATCATGTACCAGAAGCCCTACTTTATGAGTTACATGTTTTCTTTATTTAATCCCTAGAATAGCTCAGCAAGGAAAATATTAACTCCTTCTTACAGGTGAAGAGCCTGAGACTATGCTTCAACAAATTTTATTCCCTTGGTCTGAAATATGTTCATGTACACATTCATCAGACTAGTAAACACGTTTCCTCTCATGTCAGCTGTATTGTAGCATCTGTGGGGCCTTTCTGACTCCCTCAGGCCAGCATAATTGATTTTTCTCTCTCGTACCCGGAGTTCTTGATTATATATCCCTTAAATTAGGTCTTTAGATTCTAATACCCATGTGTTTTTTGTGGGGTTTTTTTTGTTTTGTTTTGTTTTGTTTTTTGTGGTACGCGGGCCTCTCATTGTTGTGGCCTCTCCCGTTGCGGAGCACAGGCTCCGGACGCGCAGGCTCAGCGGCCATGGCTCACGGGCCCAGCCGCTCCGCGGCATGTGGGATCTTCCCAGACTGGGGCACGAACCCGTGTTCCCTGCATCGGCAGGCGGACTCTCAACCACTGCGCCACCAGGAAAGCCCCCCATGTTTTTTTACTCTGCAAAATTAGTACTTTTCAAATGAAATGTAGAAATTGATTCTTGCCTATGTGTCAAAGATGACTTATGTCATACAAGTAAACTGCAATAACAAGCATGTGAATATCTTGTATAACACCCTACAAATCTTTCCTCTCTCTACTACTCACCAGTCACCTTTTGAGTTCCTTTGCTGCTGCTCATCCTTTAGCTTTTACTGTCCTCAAGGTCCTAGGCTTGTCTACCCTTCACCTCTCTCCCTGGGCAATCTCATACCATGTCTCCACTTACTTTTCTTATGACTTTCAAACCTCCAACCCAAATACCTCTCCTGAGCTTTAGGCCCACTTTTGCCTATTAAACAGGCACTTCAAATATAGTATATGGAAAATCACTAACATCTCTTAACCTAAATTCTGACCTCTTATATCCATATCTGAATGAATGGCACAGTCTTCCCTGTAGTTACCTTCATTCTTTCCCTTCTCCCCTTTAAATATGATGTAATTATCAAACCATGCCTATCATGTTGCCTCAGTATTCTCTGATCTGTCTACTTCTCTTAATGAATGTTCTTTTTGTGAGACTACTATTCTCTCTTACCTGGAATTCTGCATAACTCTTCAACTAGTCTCTCTACCTCTAGTGCTTTTATAGTGGTAACAATACTATGACATAGTTAAAAATAAAGTATAACAAAAATGTGTAAGACCTTACTGGAGAAAATTATCAAATTGTACTTAAAGTAATAAGTGGAGAAGGATATTCTGTTCATGAATGAAAAGACTTAGTGTCATAAATAAGTCACTTCTTCCCAAATTGATGTATAAATTCAGTGCATCTTCATTCAAAACCCCTACATAATTTTTTGTAGGATTTAACAAGCAGATTTTAGAGTTCATTTGATAATGTAAAGGTCCAAGTCAATTTTGAGGAACGATGAGGGGAGAATTGCCTTAACTGATTACCTGGGCTTAATTAAATTTAAATTAAGACCATTAAGTGCTGAGAACATAAACCCTTACATATAAAGAAACTTGGCGTGAGTTATACATGAATTAAATACCTAAATATGAAAATAAAACTCTTCTGAAAGAATATAAGAAACTATTTTTAGGACAGAGGAATAAGAAAAAAACTTCTGAGGTGACTAAAAACTTATGCATAAACTTGATGTATGTTAAAAGATACCATAGAGATATTGTTTATGTATATTTATTTAAAGTATGAAAGCATGAACAAGAAGGAAATACGCTAACTATAGGTTAATGATTTCCCTTAGGAAGAGAGAAATAGAATTAGCAAAGAATTTCTTTCATTAATAAAAAAGATAATGGGGCTTCCCTGGTGGTGCAGTGGTTAAGAATCCACCTGCCAGTGCAGGGGACACAGGTTCGAGCCCTGGTCCAGGAAGATCCCACATGCCGCAGAGCAACTAAGCCCGTGTGCCACGACTACTGACCCTGCGCTCTAGAGCCCGCAAGCCACAACTACTGAGCCCACACGCTGCAACTACTAAAGCCCACGTGCCTAGAGCCCGTACTCTACAACAAGAGAAGCCACTGCAATGAGAAGTCTGCACACCCCAATGAAGAGTAGCCCCCACTCGCCGCAACTAGAGAAAGCCCACGCGCAGCAATGAAGACCCAACGTAGCCATTAATTAATTAATTAAATTTTAAAAATAATAAATTAAAATTTTTTTTTAATTTAAAAAAATTTAAAAAGATAATGAAGTCTTGGTAAAATGTTAATAGTTGCATTGGTTGATGGTTACCTATGTGGATGTTGTTTTATATTATTTTCTGTACTTTTTTGTATCTTTGAAATACATACAGTTTACTAAAGAAAGCAGGAAACTATTAAAATTTTTTAAAAGGTTTAATGGGAAAATTAATTTATGTAGAAGATTCATTCCTTGATAATGTAAATAAATCCAGTTTTTTTAGTTATTTTTAAGATAAATGGCACTAAAAGTTTGTTTATGATCTCACATTATTTAATTGCATATTATTCTTAAACCAGATTTCCTGCAAATTCTCCACTTAAAACTCTTCCACGAAGGCATCCAGAATTGAGAAAAAACAGAATAGAGAACTTTTCCAAAGATAAAGATAGTATTTTTAAATTACGAAACTTATCTCGGAGAACTCCTAAAAAGCATGGATTACATTTCTCTCAGGTAAAACATCCTTTACTAGTATAAATATAATTACTGCGTGCTTAATAATAGAATCATTAAAAGTGAATGACTAATATTTGAAGCCAACACTTGGAATCTCTTAACTATATTATATTCTAAAAATGTATGTGTAAATTTGTTTGGAACTCACAGAAACGAAAATAAAAATGGTAATGAGACATACTTGAAATAGTATTTGTATAATTTAAGCATGTTTTGTTTTAAATTAATTTGAGGGTAGTGGAGGCAGCTGCAAAACCGAAAGCTCTATTACAATATATTGCATTATTTCTTCAAGTGACACCTTACAGCTCCACAATGGGCTGATACTAATAGAATTACTAAATATTAGAAGTGGTGTCAGTTCATTATCTCCAAAATGTGAGCATACCATATTAAACCAAAGTAATTCTTTTTTCAGGAAAATGCAGAGAAAATGAACTGTGAAATAATCAATGAACATCAAGAAAACTCCGTTGATAATAGAGAAATAAGCCAGAAAGATGTTGAAGAAGCTTGGAGATATGTTATTCTGATCTAGTAAGCTATAACTAAGCTATAAGCAAGTTCCTGAGGTGTTTAGAATGTTAATTTGATATTTTCATCAAGATATGCAGTTGAGGAAGAACAGATTAATTCGCAAAGCTTAGAATTTAACCTGTATATGTGTTTCTTAAATATTCTTGCGATAGTTCTGGTACAATAGAAGTAGAATGTTTTCAATATAATTTGCTTTTTCTTCGACTCAAAGTTGTAGCTCTAGTTTGGGGTCTATATTGGAATCCTGCAACAGTTATTAAGATATTTTAAAGTAAATACTAATATAAGTCTTAGAGGTTGATTTAAGAGAAATATTCCAAAAGCTTTGTTTGTTTTCCATTCAAACTCTTTCATATTTGTATTCTATTCCACTTATTTTATGGAGGAAAAACAGTTTGTATTCTTTCTCCTATCTAGCCTGCAAACAATTTTAGGTGTGTCATCCCTAGAAGAAGTCATAAATCCCAAGCAAGTAATTCCTCAATGTATAATGTACAACGTGACCAATACAAGTAAGCATGGTGTAGTTATACTGCAAGACAAATCAGGTTGGTATCAATAAAAGAAGTTGGAATCATTTTAAACATGCTAACAAAGGTTGCAGCTATTGTGGGGATAAAGAGAGAACAAAATGTAGAAAGTAGAATACTTCAGTTGAGAGAACGTCAGGGAGACTACTGATTTATCAGAGGCGCTTTAGTAATCATAGTGGGCTAATTTTTAAATGAATATTATTCACACTTATTTTAGCTCCTAAGGTGGTTTCCTGAATGATTTTTTTTTTTAATGACAGGGTTAAGCATCCAAAAGATGTGCAAATATAATTAAAACTATTGATTAATCACATTTTATTGAGGACCTACAATGTGCCAGGCACTATGCTAAAGATTAGTGATGAGCAAGAGAGAAATGGTCCATGCCTTCCTGGAGCTTACATGAGAAGTTATATACAAATTTAAAGGGGTCAAGACATACATACAAAACCAAAGTAACACCCTATAAAATAAGTCAAAACTCTCATGAACAGTATTCTAAAGAACATTGGCTTTGTATTATATATGTGTTTATACAATATATTTATTTCAGATATAAGATAGGAAAATCGGGGAAATAATTTAAGCCAGATGTATTGGGAAGCTTATAGGAAATGTATTAATAAATTTACTGAAAATGTTGGCTCATTTTTTTATAATCAATTGCTGTCTGTAGAATTAATTGACATGCATTACTTTGAGTTTCTTTTTGTGGGCAAGAACTTTGAGGGTTTAATTGTAGGAGCAAAAAAGTAAATGTTAAAACTTAAGAACTATGTTGTGTATGCTTGTAGCTTTGGACCAGTTGTATCTTTCATTACCTAAAATAACTTGATTATATGCTCTCCAGCTAAGCTTTCTATTCTTTATAACTATTAACTTTTCAAGTCAAATGTATGTGTGGTTTTTGTGTTTGTGTCAAAAAACTGCTACACTTATGTGTCATGTTTAACAGTGGCAATTGAAAGATTTTAAGCAAGCCTCACTGTGAAAGTACCTTAATATTCAAATATAGCTTGTTTCAATCATAGGTCTCACTCAAATCAGTAATATTCAAATAGCATAGCTAACTTTTTAAACTTGTATTGTAAAATACTGTCTTGGCCCTATGTCTTATTAAATATGTAATCATTTTTAATCCTGCTGGTACACATACATGTGTGTGTGTGTGTGTATATATATATATACACACACACACACACACGTATGTATAATTATATAATATAATAAGTGTGAAGTTTTAAATATACTATCATCATAATTGTATGATTGAACACTATTAATTTTTTGTGTAGATGACCTTCCTCACTGGGTATTATCTGCCATGAAGTGCCTAGCAAATTGTAAGTTAAACAAACTGTGTGTGTGTGTGTGCGTGTGTGTGCGTGTGTATGTGTGTATTATATTGATAAAATATTTAATAAGAACCAAGGAATTATTTTTAATAATTTATAAAGTCCTGATAAGATTAAATTATATTCTTTCTGTTGTGTTTAAATGAGTATCTAGTAGAACGGATTACACTTCTTTGCACGTGGAGTGTGTTATAGAGCCCTTAACTTTTTCTATGCAGGTAGTGATTTTATAATCCAAGCCCGTCATTTATGACTCAGTTCTCATAAATCATAAAATCATAGGCTAGAGGATCTCAGAGGATTTTTAGGTATAATCTACATCAATTGCCTTAGTGAGTCCAGGGAGTTCAAATAGCAACTTCTAAGTAAAGCAGCTGGTAAGTTGAAAGTTTCCATCAGAAATTAAGTCTTATAAAACCCACTTCAGTCCCCCTGCCATTGTACACAGCTTCAACATTTGGTGTTTCATGACATGCTTCTACTCCATAGGATATATTAATGGAACTTTTATGTTTATGAAAAAAAATGGTCTGTCATTAATCAGATCATTTTTTAGCATTTCATTCTTCAAGTTTTTTCCATAGTGATCAGTGAGTTTTATAATTTAAGACCCTAGTTCTAGTACAAAACCCTAATTGCTCTCGAAAATCAGTTTTTAAAATATGCAGAGGTGTTTTGATGCTTCTAAATCATCAAAAGTTAAATTATATTTTAATAATTTTGTTACAAAAGTATTTTTCTAGTTTTTATTAAGTTAGTATTTTATTAATGTTCAGGATAAGTATATATTCCCTTGTTGTCCACTGGGTGTCAATATGACAAAATAACAGGATAACTAGCAATAAGTAAATAATATTAGTTATAGAAAAAATTTATCAATTCAAGATAAAGATCTTGATCAGAAGCTAAAGATTTCTGAGATTCTCTTTCTACCTTCTCGCTACGTAACTGTCCTTCTCTCTCATACCTTGGCTCATGATTAGCAACTCAGATAGCATACTTCAGGGATTTCTCTGATGCCCCATCTTTAGGGATTTGTTTCTTTTTCTTTTCAATCCACGTTATACATAAATGATACCAAGATATAGCTTACTAAATTCCAGTTTAACAATATGTCTAGCCAGAGGCAATATTAAGACTTTTACTTAACTTGTTTGTTATTTAATCCCCCACCGTAATCCTGTGACATACAGGAATCAAAGATCAGTATACTATTCATAATTTTTTTTCTAGAAGAGAAAACTAAGGCTTAGAAAGTCTATTTTTCTGATACATAAGGAGCTATGTATTCAAACCTAGATTCTCTAACTGTAAATTCTGTGTTTTTAATACCAGTAAAGTATTTTCTATCTTAGAAAACTTCTAATGATTATCAAATTTTTTATTCTACATATTAAGAATATTTCTTATATCCTCCTCAGAAAAATTGTCTATTTGTTCCACATAAAATCCTTATTAGCCTTTAAGCTATTAAGTGTGTGTATGTGTGTTAACTTGAAAGATAACATAGTAACTCTCAAATCTGAGTGCATATCACAGCCACTAGAGAAACTCAGCAAATATTCAGATTCAGTCGATTCAGTATGTGAGGAATTTTTTTTTTTTTTTAAATCACGTCTCAGAAGATTCTTATAGCAAGATGCCCAGCTCCGTGTTAGGAAACTACTTAATTAGTGAACCAGAAGCAAACATTTCTAGATCAGTAATTCCTAGCTCCATAGGAATTCTGATAGATTCTGGACTGTTTAGAGGAGATTATATATACTTTTAATAGGTACACTGGATGATTCTGATTATGAAGTCCATGGACCACACTTTAAATGCTATTAAACCTCAAGATCCTGTGACTTGCTCTCACTTTATACTGCTCTAAATTCTAATTTTAGCTTTGCCACCAAACCCCTTTTACCTTGAGCAAGTTGCTCTGAGCTTCAGTTTCCTCACCTGTAACATAAGATCAGAATTTATTTCTGAGGAAAATACTAATGAGTAGACATGATTATTTCAATAATGTTAAGCTAATGGAACAGCGATGTAAAGATATTATTTAAACTCATTCAGGGTATGCGTCACGTCAGGCAAAATTTAATCACAACAATGTAAATTTACAAAAGACAATTTGAAAGAATTATTTGCATAATCCAAATAATCTTTGCTTTATAAAATGAATTGTGATAAAATCCCATTAAAATAAGCTGTCCTGATGCTTTTAAAATATATTTCAAATTTTGCTTTATATACAATTTTTCAGTCATATAAATATTAAAATTAAACAAAATGCTAATAGTTGCAGTGATTTCTAATGAAAAGATGGTGAGAAGGAATGAGATATGCATAGAAGGAATTAAATATGCATATTTAAATTTAAATTTATTTATATTTAATTTAAATTTAATTTAATTTAAATTTTTAAATTGTGACAATTTGTTAAACATAACTCCTTCATGAAATAAGTATATGTTTTATGCTTTTTATAAGTATCTTTAAAAATTATATTTAAAATAAATTATATTTCATCTTTTTTTTTATTTTTTGCCTCTACTTAGGGCCAAGAAGTAATGATATGAATAATCCAACTTATGCTGGATTTGAACGAGATGTATTCAGAACAATTGCAGATTATTTTCTAGATCTCCCTGAACCTCTACTTACCTTTGAATATTATGAATTATTTGTGAACATTTTGGGTATGTATAGATTTTTATTTAAATTTATTTTATTAGTTTCCAAGTCCCCCATAATTTAAAAGATCTAAAAGTATAGGTAAACATGAAGGTGGCAGGCTATAAATTATTTTAAACTTCAGGAATCCTCTGGTTGTTGTTATGTTGTTTTCCAGTAATTCAAATATACCATTCCAACACCAATTCTCTACACCAATAGGGTGTCTTACAATTCAGTTCATTTCTGACACTAACTACCCAGCATTAACCCAGACCCCAAAAAGTTGAGGACAAAGTCTTTCAGCTCTGATACTAACTACCCAGTGCTAGCTCAGACCCCAGAGATCAAGGGCTCAGTTCCACAGCGCTGCCCTCACTTCAGGCACCAGCTGCAAATGAGGTCCTCAGGTTTACTGACATTTCTGCCTGGCTAACTACCAAGTTAGGGGTTCCCACAACCCCCTGAAGTTTAATAATTCACTGTAACGGCTCACAGAACTCTGGAAAGTGCTTTACTTAATGATTACCAGTTTATTATAAAGGATACAAGTCAGGAACAGCCAAATGGAAGAGATATATAGGGCAAGGAATGGGGGTAAGGGTTGTGCAGAGCTTCTATGTTCTCTCCAGGAATGTCATCCCCCCAAGCGTGTCCATGTATTCACCAACTGGTAAGCTCCCGTAGCTGTGTTGTTTCAGAGTTTTAATTGAGGTTTCATTACATAGGCATGGTTGATTAAATCATTGCTCATTGTTGACTAAGTCTGACCTCCACCAACCACCACTACCCCACCACCCCCTCCAGGGAGGTCTGAGGTAAGGCTAAAAGTTCCAACCTTCCAAGAAGGGCTAAGCCTAAGTCACCTCATTAGCATAAACTGAGGCTAGCTCTAATAGGCTCATTGTGAATAACAAAAGACTCCTGTCACTCTGGAGATTCCATGGGTTTTAGGAGTTCTATACCAGGTACCAGAAACAAAAACTATATATATGTTTTATTAAACTACTGTTGTCTTATAATTAAGAATTTTCTAATACTTGTAGACTGAAAGTAGATATTTTTTCATGTATTTGACTGAATCCATTTAATTAGATTGTTGAAATAAATTTTAAAGTTATTTTCATCACAAGTTGGAAAACCTCGAGTCTTGCACTTTGTAACTGAATGTTGCATGTGTCCTATTTAAGTGGCTTCTGAATTAAGCAACTGCTATTTGTACTATACTAACAATATGTACTATAGTGATGCTTTGTTTTTTTTAACGTTACTCTTGTTTTTGTTTTATTTTTGTCCACTGTCATACAGTTGCATCTTAATTTTTGTTTCATTTCCTGGTAGTTGTTTGTGGCTACGTCACAGTTTCAGATAGACCCAGTGGGATACATAAAATCCAAGATGATCCACAGTCTTCAAAAATCCTTCACTTAAACAGTCTGAATTCCTTCAAATCAACTGAGTGTCTTCTTCTCAGTCTGCTTCATAAAGACAAAAACAAAGAAGAATCAGATACTACTGAGAGACTGCAGATAAGTGATCAAGGATTTCAAGAAAACTATGCTAAGAAAATGCAGCTAGTTAATTTAAAAAACAGAAGAGCCAGTGTTAATGACATAATGGGAGGAAGTTGTCATAATTTAATAGGCTTAAGTAGTATGCATGTTCTATCCTCTAGCATCAAACCAAGGTGCTATTCATTACAAGGAATTGTAGATTTACCAGGGAGTTCAAGTAAAGAGGTCTCCAGTGTCTTCCATCAATCTGTTCTGAACATAAAAGGACAAAATAATAAACAATTTTTAGAGTCTGAGACCAAACAGGAATCCCTAATGCATCTTCATTCAGAGGAAAGTATTCAAAAACCACTCTGTGTTGGTTTTAAAAGAACCTCTACTTTGACCGTTCAAGACCAAGAGGAGTTATGTAATGGAAAGTGCAAGTCAAAACAGCTTTGTAGATCTCAGAGTTTACTTTTAAGAAGTAGTACAAGAAGGAATAGTTATATTAATATGCCAGTGGCTGAAATTATCATGAAACCAAATCTTGGACAAGGCAGCACGAGTGTGCAAACAGCTATGGAAGGTGAACTCGGAGAGTCTAGTACCACAGTCAATAAAAGACTCTGCAAAAGTACAATAGAACTTTCAGAAAACTCTTTACCTCCAGCTTCCTCTATGTTGACTGGCACACAAAGTAAGGTTGATGCTTTCAACGCATGTAATGTTAACTTTTAGTGTTTACTAACCCTATTTCATTTACCTGGCTTTTCTTCTCTGAAATTGCTTTACTTTTTCCCTCCAGAAGGAAAGTTTCATATTGTAAAAGACTTGTCATGGCATAACCAAGATTTATTCTACTTACCTAAAGCACTCCTTTTCTTTCCCTTAAATTGCACTTATTCTGAGTCACTTTATTTGTAATAAGTGAAGGATTTTCAATCCTTCATAATCCAATGGGTTATGAAGAAAATAATGAGTATCTTACCATGCTTTTGAAGAATGTGGAAATTTCTGGGAATAGTCAAAAGAAACGAAATATTAAAATATTATTTTGCCTTCTTTATATAACTATATGCTGATAGTATGAAAGCAGCTAGTGTCATTGATGATTTTTTTCTGGGGGGTAATTTGCCTTCTAGGTTTGCTACAACCTCATTTAGAGAGGGTTGCCATCGATGCACTACAGTTGTGTTGTTTGTTACTTCCCCCACCAAATCGTAGACGGCTTCAACTTTTAATGCGCATGATTTCGCGAATGAGTCAAAATGTTGATATGCCCCAACTTCATGATGCAATGGGTACAAGATCACTGGTAAGTTGATTTCTTAAGGAAAGAATAAGTCCAGTTCATAAACTGCACCGCACCCCCCCCCGCCACCGAAAAAAAAAAGAAAGAAAGAAGACCAAACCATCTAAGCATACTACTCAAGTGATGTCATGGTCTTGAAATCCTAGATTCTTGAGTTAAAAAAAGGCTCTTGAAAGTCTAACCTTTCCTAGCAGCAGAATACTGGTACATTAATCCTTTGTGCCCAGTCTTTTATACTTTCACATCTTGATCTTTACCTAAGGACTTTGCCTATTCACTCACGCTATATCACTTCATAGTGGTTAACTGTCAGGCCATATTATATTGCCTTGTGCCAATTCTGTTTGGTGGGGAAGGAAGAGGAGATGTAGGCACTGTTGAAAGCCGAAGGGCACTATAACCCTGTGAAATAAAGAATTAATGGGAAATTCATGTGTAGTAAGTCAAAGTGTTTCAGATATTGTAGTAGTGGGAAAGTTGTATTTGATGTGTTATGTGAATTAGGATAGCTTGTCATTGTGGGCAGGAAGTTGGGAGAGGTACTGTGAAGCAGTCTTAGGCTCCATATGAAGATGAGGGAAACAAGGCATTTATATGCAGATGTTGACTGGAAATGAACTCTTGAAATAGTATCTCTAATATCTATTTCCCTCCCTCTCTTTATCTCTCTCTTCCTCTCTCTCTCTCTCTCTCTCTCTCTCACTCTCACTCTGTCTCTCTGTCTTTCTATAAAGAGCTGCCACTTCCTCAGAGCACAGCTTCAATTTACAGAATGTTCTTGTAGCAAGGAATCTGTAGCTAAGCTCCGTTCTTCCACTTATTAAGGACAGTTTTTTAATAAAACGACATACCTAATATAAAGAGGAAGAATTATTCTTAAGTAATTGTGGCATCATTAAAAAGCATAGGGAAGTTTGTAGGAAAAGATATTTAGAGAGATATGAGTAAGAAGGGGGTAATTTTGATTTTACACTTTTTGAGGTTGAAGTTATAGAACATCTAAGTGAAATTTATCCTACAGACAGAAGGTTGGAAATGAACCTGGTGAAGAAATATTAGGGCAGAAAGTATATTTTTTGGAAAAGTGGTAGTTGAGGCTATGGGAGTAAATGAGTTCTACAAAGCTGAGCAAACAAAGAATAAAAGCTGAGGACTGAGCATTGGAAGAAGATAGGAAAACCTGCCAGGCATGTAGGAATAAGACCAAAAATATTTCAATTCAATAAATATGCTCACCATCTATTATGTGCAAAATACTTAAAATACAATTCTGATATTCAAATTATTTTAGAATGAGGTGTGTGAGTGTTTATGTGTGCGTGTGTACCTGTGTGTGTCTTAATATTTGGTGGGTTATATGGACATGAATGAGAGTAAATTAGCTTTGAAACACAAAATTTACCCCAGGATTTGAAGATTGTCATGATGGAATTGAAAAATACAATGTACTAATTGTTTTTAAAGACTAATAGAATAGCATTAAAAACTGTTTTCCAGTTTCAAAAGATAAATGATGCCAACCTTGTAACCACTTGTGTTTATATATTCTCCTAGTCTGTGCTTTTATGGGGTTAATTTAATAAGTCACTGTTCTCTAACAGTCTTTAAGCACCATATTTGTTTGGTATTAATGGAACCTAGGTGTTTAGTGATAAAATTGAGACAAAATTGAAGAAAAAGCTAAGCCTTCTGTAATCATTTGGAATTTATATTAAGGAAATACTTAACAAGCACTATAAAAAAATTGGCATTTTATTCTTTCTAATGTAATAAGTTATTGTCCTCATTTTGTAAGCTGAAGCCTGCTTATCACTTTATCTCAATCCTTTAGATAATACTACCTAGAAATTACTGGTATTCTAATTTATATAAAAGTTTTTAAATTCACATCTTTTAATGTTTCTAGATGATACATACTTTTTCTCGGTGTGTGTTACGCTGTGCTGAAGAAGTAGATCTTGATGAGCTTCTTGCTGCACGATTAGTTTCTTTCTTGATGGATCATCAACAGGAAATTCTCCAAGTACCCTCTTACCTACAGACTGCAGTGGAGAAACATCTTGACTACTTAAGAAAGGGCCATGTATGTATTCTAAGTCTTAAAATTCTCTGCATTAGTTGCAAGTGGCAAACTCATCTCAAACTAGCCTAATCAGAAAGGGAGACTTTATCAGCTCACATAAATAACCTCCAAAAGTCAAGAATGTAGACAGAATATGGATATTCAAATAACAATAGGACTGTTTCCATCACTTCATCACTTATTTCCATTTCAGTCCTATATTTGAAAAATGGCTCCTTCACATGGTTGGATATGGCTGATTAAAGCTCTTGAGTCATAGACTTATATTTGCAATCCAAAGGAAAAAAAAAACCATTCCTCACCTCCAATTTGAAAAGTTAATGGTATGGACACAGAGTGGCCAAATCTAGATTAAATGCACATTCTTTAGGTGGTTGAGGGTGAGTGGGTTGAAGAGAGGGCCCATTCTCTGAGTGGCTCTACATAGATTAGAGAAGAATCTGTTCTTCACGAAAGGTAAGGATAGTTGGAGTAGAATGGGAAGAACTTTTATAAGGAGAGAAGGAATCTAAGCATCCAAAAACAACAGATGTCTGCTATATTCAGTCTTTGGCTGCCCAACACACATATTCATGTTTCTTCTTATACATACTATTCTAATATTGCCATGACTTACTGTAATTATAACTATCCCCTACAATTCTTTCTCTTGTCTACAAATTTTTTTTTTTTCCTACAGCAGGTCCTAATTGGTCATCAATTTTATACACATCAGTGTATACATATCAATCCCAATTGCCCAATTCATCACACCACCACTTCCACCCCCCAACCGCTTTCCCCCCTTAGTGTCCATACATTTGTTCTCTACATCCATGTCTCAATTTCTTCCCTGAAAACCGGTTCATCTGTACCATTTTTCTAGGTTCCACATATATGCGCTAACATACGATATTTGTTTTTCTCTTTCTGACTTACTTCACTCTGTATGACAGTCTCTAGATCCATCCACGTCTCTACAAATGTTCCAATTCCATTCCTTTTTATGGCTGAGTAATGTTCCATTGTATATATGTACCACATATTCTTTATCCATTCATCTGTCGATGGGCATTTACGTTGCTTCCATGACCTGGCTATTGTAAATAGTGCTGCAATGAACATTGAGGTGCATGTGTCTTTTTGAATTATGGTTTTCTCTGGGTATATGCCCAGTAGTGGGATTGTTGGGCCATGTGGTAGTTCTATTTTTGGTTTTTAAGGAACCTCCATACTGTTCTCCATAGTGGCTATATCAATTTACATTCCCACAAACAGTGCAAGAGGATCCCCTTTTCTCCACACCTTCGCCAGCACTTGTTCTTTGTAGATTTTCTGATGATGGCCATTCTAACTGTTGTGAGGTGATACCTCATTGTAGTTTTGATTTGCATTTCTCTAATAATTAGTGATGTTGAGCAGCTTTACATGTGCTTCTTGGCCATCTGTATCTCTTCTTTGGAGAAATGTCTATTTAGGTCTTCTGCCCATTTTTGGATTGGGTTGTTTGTTCTTTTTAATATTGAGCTGCATGAGCTGTTTATATACTTTGGAGATTAATCCTTTCTCCGTTGATTCGTTTGCAAATATTTTCGCCCATTCTGAGGGGTGTCTTTTCGTCCTGTTTATGGTTTCCTTTGCTGTGCAAAAGCTTTGACGTTTCATTAGGTCCCATTTGTTTATTTTTGTTTTTATTTTCATTACTGTAGGAGGTAGATCCAAAAAGATCTTGCTGTGACTTATGTCAAAGAGTGTTCTTCCTATGTTTTTCTCTAAGAGTTTGATGGTGTCTGGCCTTACATTTAGGTCTTTAATCCATTTTGAGTTTAATTCTGAGTATGGTGTTAGGGAGTGTTCTCATCTCATTCTTTTACATGTAGCTTTCCAGTTTTCCCAGCACCACTTATTGAAGAGACTGTCTTTTCTCCATTGCACGTCCTTGCCTCCTTTGTCATAGATTAGTTGACCATAGGTGCGTGGGTTTATCTCTGGGCTTTCTATCTTGTTCCACTGATCTATGTTTCTGTTTATGTGCCAGTACCATATTGTCTTGATCACTGTAGCTTTGTAGTATAGTCTGAAGTCAGGGAGTCTGATTCCTCCAGCTCTGTTTTTTTCCCTCAAGACTGCTTTGGCTATTTGGGGTCTTTTGTGTCTCCAAACAAATTTTAAGATTTTTTTGTTCTAGTTCTGTAAAAAATGCCATTGGTAATTTAATAGGGATTGTATTGAATCTGTAGATTGCTTTGGGTGGTATAGTCATTTTCACAATATTGATTCTTCCAATCCAAGAACATGGTATACCTCTCCGTCTGTTGGTATCATCTTTAATTTCTTTCATCAGTGTCTTATAGTTTTCTGCATACAGGTCTTTTGTCTCCCTAGGTAGGTTTATTCCTAGGTATTTTATTCTTTTTGTTGCAATGGTAAATGGGAGTGTTTGCTTAATTTCTCTTTCAGATTTTTCATCATTAGTGTATAGGAATGCAAGAGATTTCTGTGCATTAATTTTGTATCCTGCAACTTTACCTAATTCATTGATTAACTCTAGTAGTTTTCTGGTGGCATCTTTAGGATTCTCTATGTATAGTATCATGTCATCTGCAAACAGTGACAGTTTTATTTCTCCTTTTCCAATCTATATTCCTTTTATTTCTTTTTCTTCTCTGATTGCTGTGGCTAGAACTTACAAAACTATGTTGAATAATAGTGGCGAGAGTGGACATCCTTGTCTTGTTCCTGATCTTAGAGGAAATTTTTTCAGTTTTTCACTATTGAGAATGATGTTTGCTGTGGGTTTGTTGTACATGGCCTTTATTATGTTGAGGTAGCTTCCATCTATGTCCACATTCTGGAGAGTTTTTATCATAAATAGGTTTTGAATTTTGTCAAAAGCTTTTTCTGCATCTGTTGAGATTATCATATGGTTTTTATTCTTCAATTTGTTAATATGGTGTATCACATTGATTGATTTGTGTATATTGAAGAATCCTTGCATCCCTGGGATAAATCCCACTTGATCATTGGTGTATGATCCTTTTAATGTGTTGCTGGATTCTGTTTGCTAGTATTTTGTTGAGGATTTTTGCATCTATATTCATCAGTGATATTGGTCTGTAATTTTCTTTTTTTGTAGTATCTTTGTCTCATTTGGGTATCGGGGTGATGGTGGCCTCATAGAATGAGTTTGGGAGTGTTCCTTCCTCTGCAATTTTTTGTAAGAGTTTGGGAAGGATGGGTGTTAGCTCTTCTCTAAATGTTTGATAGAATTCACCTGTGAAGCCATCTGGTCCTGGACTTTTGTTTGTTGGAAGATTTTTAATCACAATTTCAATTTCATTACTTGTTATTGGTCTGGTCATATTTTCTATTTCTTCCTGTTTCAGTCTTGGAAGGTTATACCTTTCTAAGAATTTGTGCATTTCTTCCAGGTTGTCCATTTTATTGGCATATAGTTGCTTGTAGTAGTTTCTTAACGATGCTTTGTATTTCTGTAGTGTCTGTTGTAACTTTTCCTTTTTCATTTCTAATTTTATTGATTTGAGTCCTCTCTCTCTTTTTCTTGATGAGTCTGGTTAATGTTTATCAATTTTGTTTATCTTCTCAAAGAACCAGCTTTTAGTTTTATTGATCCTCGCTATTGTTTTCTTTCTTTCTATTTCATTTATTTCTGCTCTGATCTTTATGATTTCTTTCCTTCTGCTAACTTTGGCTTTTATTTGTTCTTCTTTCTCTAGTTCCTTTAGGTGTAAGGTTAGATTGTTTATTTGAGATTTTTCTTGTTTCTTGAGGTAGGCTTGTATAGCTATAAACTTCCCTCTTAGAACTACTTTTGCTGCATCCCATAGGTTTTGGATCATCATGTTTTCATTGTCATTTGTCTCTAGGTATTTTTTTATTTCCTCTTTGATTTCTTCAGTGATCTCTTGGTTATTTAGTAACGTCATGTTTAGCCTCCATGTGTTTGTGTTTCTTACTTTTTTTTCCCTGTAATTTATTTGTAATCTCATAGCATTGTGATCAGAAAAGACGCTTGATATGATTTCAATTTTCTTAAATTTACGGTGGCCTGATTTGTGACCCAAGATGTGATCTATCCTGGAGAATGTTCTGTTTGCACTTGAGAAGAAAGTGTAATCTGCTGTTTCTGGATGGAATGCTTATAAATATCAATTAAATCTATCTGGTCTATTGTGTCATTTAAAGCTTCTGTTTCCTTATTTGTTTTCATTTTGGATGATCTGTCCATTGGTGTAAATGGGGTGTTTAAGTCCCCCACTATTATTGTGTTACTGTCAATTTCCTGTTTTATAGCTGTTAGCAGTTACCTTATGTATTGAGGTGCTCCTATGTTGGGTGCATATATATTTATAATTGTTATATCTTCTTCTTGGATTGATCCCTTGATCATTATGTAATGTCCTTCCTTGTCTCTTGTAACATTCTTTATTTTAAAGTCTATTTTATCTGATATGAGTATTGCTACTCCAGCTTTCTTTTGATTTCCATTTGCATGGAATAATTTTTCCATCCCCTCACTTTCAGTCTGAATGTGTCCCTAGGTCTGAAGTGGGTCTCTTGTATACAGCATATAGATGGGTCTTGTTTTTGTACCCATTCTTCAAGCCTGTGTCTTTTGGTTGGAGCATTTAATCCATTCACGTTTAAGGTAGTTATCGATATGTATGTTTCTATGACCATTTTCTTAATTTTGGGGGGTTTGTTTTTGTAGGTCCTTTTCTTTTGTGTTTCCCACTTAGAGAAGTTCCTTTAGCATTTGTTGTAGAGCTGGTTTGGTGGTGCTGAATTCTCTTAGCTTTTGCTTGTCTGTAAAGCTTTTGATTTGTCCATCGAATCTGAATGAAATCATTACCAGGTAGAGTAATCTTGGTTGTAGGTTCTTCCCTTTCATCACTTTAAGTATATCATGCCACTCCCTTCTGGCTTGTAGAGTTTCTACTGAGAAATCAGCTGTTAACCTTATGGGAGTTCCTTTGTATGTTATTTGTCAGTTTTCCCTTGCTGCTTTCAATAATTTTTCTTTGTCTTTAATTTTTACCAGTTTGATTACTATGTGTCTCGGCGTGTTTCTCCTTGGGTTTATCCTGTATGGGACTCTCTGTGCTTCCTGGACTTGGGTGGCTGTTTCCTTTCCCATGTTAGGGAAGTTTTTGACTATGATCTCTTCAAGTATTTTCTCGGGTCCTTTCTCTCTCTCTTCTCCTTCTGAGACCCCTATAATGCGAATGTTGTTGCGTTTAATGTTGTCCCCAAGGTCTCTTAGGCTGTCTTCATTTTTTTTTCATTGTTTTTTCTTTATTCTGTTCCGCATCAGTGAATTACACCATTTTGTCCTCCAGGTCACTTATCCACTCTTCTGTCTCAGTTATTCTGCTATTGATTCCTTCTAGTGTAGTTTTCATTTCAGTTATTGTATTGTTCATCTCTGTTTGTTTGTTCTTTAATTCTTCTAGGTCTTTGTTAAACATTTCTTGCGTCTTCTCCATTTTTTCCTCCATTCTTTTTCCGAGATCTTGGATCATCTTCACTATCATTATTCTGAATTCTTTTCTGGAAGTTTGCCTATCTCCACCTCATTTAGTTGTTTTTCTGGGGTTTATCTTGTTCCTTCATCTGGTACATAGCCCTCTGCCTTTTCATCTTGTCTGTTTTTGTGAATTTGGTTTTTGTTCCACAGGCTGCAGGATTGTGGTTCTTCTTGCTTCAGCTGTCTACCCTCTGGTGGATGAGGCTATCTAAGAGGCTTGTGCAAGCTTCCTAATGGGAGGGACTGGTGGTGGGTAGAGCTGACTGTTGCTCTGGTGGGCAGAGCTCAGTAAAACTTTAATCCACTTGACTGCTGATGGGTGGGGCTGGGTTCCCTCCCTGTTGGTTGTTTGGCCTGAGGAGACCCAACACTGAAGCCTACCTGGGCTCTTTGGTGGGGCTAATGGTGGACTCTGGGAGGGCTCACGCCAAGGAGTACTTCCCAGAACTTCTGCA